AGGCCAAGGTGACGCCGGGCTCCGTGTGCGCCGTGTGGGGCCTCGGCGGCGTGGGGCTGTCCATCGTCCTGGGCTGCAGGATGGCCGGGGCCTCCGCCATCGTCGGCGTCGACATCAACCCCGAGAAGGAGGCCAACGGTAAGGTGGTGCAGGCGGTATAAGCTTTACTGTGGCTAGATTGGAGCGGTCGATAACGACTAAGGTACTGCCCGCTGCCCGTGCCGTGCAGCTCGCAAGTTCGGCTGCACCGACTTTATCAACTCCAAGACCCTCGACAAGCCCGTGAGCGAGTACCTGGCCGAGAGGTTCAATGGAGGTTGCGACTTCACCTTTGAGAGCTCCGGCTCCGCGGTCGCTATGGTATGTTTAAACGTTGGCAGGACCACGATTTGAATCTAAAACACAACGATGACAAACAACTCGCACGCACACTGTCCATAAACGCAGGCCGAGGCGTTCGAGTCCGTCCGCGACGCCGGCGGGCTCTGCGTGGTGACCGGCGGCGTACCCGATGGGCAAAAACTCTCCATCTCTCCCGGGCACCTGCTGAGCGGTCGAACCCTAACCGGCTCCGCGTTTGGAGGATACAGATTCCGCAACGACCTGCCAGCTCTGGTTAGCATCTTAGCAGGCGGACTGCAAGGGTCGTTCCAAACTGTGAGCGATCAAGTTAAAAACAGTGTCGGTACCTTATTTTTTCAGGTCGAAATGGTCGCGGAGGGTAAGATTCCAGTCGACGACTACATCACAGGCTCCTTTAAGTTGGCTGAAATCAACGAAGCCTTTGATACCATGAAAAGTGGAAATTGGTATGGCACCTTTTTAACCTATTCCTGCTTGAATAGTTACTTTTGTATGAATAAACAATTATACTTCGCTTTTGGTTTTGCAGCATACGGATCACCATCACATTTGACTAGCCATTTGTTGTGAAGCGATCAGCGCTGTCAGTCAGAAAACCCGGCAATGATGACCCTTCAGGGAGTCTGACTCTGGCCGAGCTCAAGTGTGATTGAATGCATTAAAGAAACTTGGCTAACCACATTCCCAAGCCTGTCATGATTTAACCTCCATACTAAACGTGGCCCAGGTTCGGATTGTGGGTGGTTTAAGTCGCGCATCTAGAAAGTACGTCTGTTTTTATCAGATGTATGCGGCAGATGACGGCAGCTCGGCGCCTGCGAGACTCGGGGTAGGCCACCCCGCAGTACACGTATGCACTGAATACCCGTTGTTGCCTACCTATCAGGCGCGATGAGAGCTTCCATCTCTTTTTACTAACGTGTACAGAAGCCAGTTAATTTTCTTTTACGGGGAGCGGGGTCTCGCACTAACCGTCACGCCTCCTGGTGGGTAGGCCGCGTCCGTTCGCCATGCGCTTCGCTGCAGCGCGGGCTGGCCTAACTTACCTTGCAGGCGGCCGACGCACGAGGTCCCAAATAACGCGTGGCGTTATCGCTCATGACTCCAATTACATGATAATTGATCGATGTTACGGAGCAGCAACACTGATAAGCGAGCGCTAGTCGTAGAGGCAGTGACCGGGGCCGGGCAGTGGTGACAGACCGTCCGGGGACGAGCGTGCAAGCGAGCACTCCCGTGCGTCAAGCATACAGCGACAGCAACATGTCCACGGCAGGGAAGGTGAGGGTGAGGTTGTTGTTGGTATGGACGGCGCTTGTCCGAAACGTCGAAATCAAAGGCCCGCGGCTTTTATGGACACGATAACTTTTTATTATGGCAATGGGACATGCAATGAAAATTACAACGGAAAAAATATCGGAAACATGATGTAATAACTTTTTATCGCAAGGTTTTAGCGTATTCCGCGGTAAAATGTGACCAATTTGTTTGTGATAACTTCCCCCAACACTTTTTATTGCATGACCTTTTTTAGCGATAAAAAGTTGTAAGTTCGGAAAAGCGGTACAATCAAAAAGTGTCACAAATCTGAGCAGTCGCAAATATTTTGTCATGAAAAAGTATATGTACGTACCAAAAAACCTACATTCAGTGCTGCTGATCCGCCCATCCACCAAGCAAGATTTTTTGGGGAGAAAGAACAATTTTTTTTGACCCATTCTTTTGGAACTGAAATTTGTACGTCGATGCAAGCTCCATGCCGTCCAGGTACCCGTGCATCCCTC